AAAGATGAATTTTCACCAAAAACTAAACTTCTTTTGTGGACAAATTAATCTTGCCTTACACAAATCATAAACATAGAACAAAACCTAACAGTGTCAATCACTAGAGATATCCACATTCCCATTCACATGTTACAAGATGACATCTTTTTAGGTATTTCAAGATTTTTCAAATGAACAAACAAGCAAACAAAAAACCCACAACAGTAAGAAGTGGCTTCAGATCACTTATTTAAAGTATTTCTTCTGATTTTTTCATATCTCATTTCAATTTCTCTTAAAGACACAAGTCTCATTTAAAAAGTACATTGCAGACAATTATGGATCATCCATTTTAATTTGGGTTTCATTATTCATTTTTCCCATCTGAAATACAACATCTCAGGTGAAAATAAAAAATAATGAAAACATACAAAGCATAACTGTATGAAGCTATAAAGAGAAAACAAAAGGCCAGGAATACAGCTGCCTGCAAAGTACAGTGATCCATGACCTAGCATCAGCACAGATCTAGACAGAAAAGCTAGGCGTGAATGAAAACTGTACTGCTTCTGGCCTAAAGTGACTTGAGTAGAACCAAGCCTTGCCATTCTTGGGCCTGTGGCATGCTCCAGTCATTATTCAGTTAGTCAAAAAGGGACTACAGTTGCTGTTACATTGTTGTGACACTTCACAGCTCACTTGCAATACAAAACTACTATCAGAACAGAAACTACACTGTTGAACATTAAGAAGGATTGTGTTCTACCAAGAAGGCAGAACAACTGCTTTTTCTTCTTTTCATATGCACAATTTCATCTCAGGGAGAGAAGTGCATCACCTGTTATTTACACTACAAAGTTTCTTCAGAAGAAGTCTCAAAATCCATATTTATCAGATCTTTAGGTTAGGCCAATGCATTACAAACCAGAACTTCTATAAGCAAACCTACAGAGTCCTGCCTGAAGAAGTGGACATCAGGAACATATAAGGGTCATCGCTTGTATATAAACAGTTGCAACTGAAAATGCAACACAACTTCTGTCTGAAGCCCTCTGTCATCAGACATATCATCTTCAGATACTGGGAGCAACTTTCATCTTTACCTAGTACACAATAAAGATGTTTTTTTTACTTGATCCTCTAGAGGATACTAAAAGCAGAAATAAAGCAAAACTGTTGTTCATTTCAACTTGCTTACAAGCCTACAGTTTAATACAAACATACCAGTTTTTGATTCTTGAACATGTTCTATGGCTTGCCGAGTGTTCACCCCAAGGTCATTGAAATCTCTGCGACGCCCACCCCTGTCTGCTAAAGACAATTCCTGAAATCCCACAGAAATCTGTAATCCTATTGTTTCAAAATTTGAGGAAGAGAAAGAATTACAGTCAACAGTTAAATACAAATAAATACAATTCCATTTGAAAATGAGATATATGTAAGACCAAGAGAAATCATGAAATGTTAAGCTACAGCTTTTGCTATGTAGTAAATCATCTCATAATAACATTCAGGTAACACATAACAAATTCCTAAAACTTACAGACAGCTAACTAGTAAGCAAACAGAACAGCTCACAAGCCAGATAAAAAAAGGAATGTAAATCCTCCAAATCAATTCTTTTGCAAACACAGGGAGAACAGATCTTTCATTTCTGCTCCAGCTGGCACCAAAATGTTTAAATACACTGTGATCTGAAATAGGCAAATTTAATTTCCTTATTAAGATTCAAAAAGCATAACAAAACAACAAAATGAAACTGATGATTGGTATTCATGCAGGTAACTGTCACAACTGCTTCCTAATTTATTGTTTTTAGAGAAGAGATGGTACAGATGGAGTAGAGCACACTTAAGATAGTTTTCATAATTCCTGGTTCAGTTACACTGAATCTTAGAATGACAATACTATTATCTCAAAGGATGTAGAGTGAATGTTTCCAAATCTCAGTAACAAATCTCATTTTGAGAAGAAAAATTCAAAATATAGTCTAAGGAATGTCTTAATTGTGCTGAGGGCAATGAACTTTTTCACTCTTTCTGACCTTCTGGCCGCCTCTCGCTCTGGCCCTGTGGAACACTCTGGCGTGCACGGCCACCAGGTTCTTCTGATAGTGATGCATGAACATGTGGCTGATGATGGCCAGGTGGCTGAACTGGCAAAGCCTGACGAATCTGCAATAGTTGGGAATAACTTTTCCTACTGCAACTGAAGAAACAGCATACTCCCAAGAGTAAAGCAAAACAAAGTCAGTAACCAAGTACAGAATACTCAAGTACTAAAGTGTAACAGTTGCAAAAGTTTAAATCTTTTTCCTGTATTAAGTAGCAGAGTTATTACTTTGTACCTCAAACTCCAAAATAATTTTATTTTTTTGCAAGTTAATACTCATTTAAATAGTAGTAAATTCAAACCTCTTTCCAACTCTATAACTAAAATTTCTGGACTTCTCATTTTTAACAATCCCTCTGATACTTCAAGTACTTACTTATTGTATAGAAACAGACTAATGACATGAAAGATGATTACTGACAACTGACAGATTTGAGAAACTGCTTTAAAAAAATCTCCAGCTACGTGGCAATGGCTTCAAATACAGATCAGCCATTTTCAAGCTAGAGTTTGAGCAGGGCAGATATGCAATAAAACAAGTCCTAGACACTAATTCAAATGCAGAGACAAAGTCCTGCATATTAAAATTAAAACCAACAGGAACAGGTCAGAACACCTGCTACACACAGGTTCTGCCCAAATCTTTATCAGCAGCAGCAGCCTTGTATGTTCTGCTTCTCTGTCCTTTCCAACCCTAACTATTCTATGATTCTACACCACAGTGAACAAAACAGGCTATGAAAATATTACCTATTTCCACTAGCTCTATTATGACAGCAAAATAGTAAAATAGGAAGTAGTTAAGCTATTAGATTTCAAAGCCTAGTATCATTCATTAAAAAAGAAATCAACTTACAGATGCAGCTCCTGCAGAAGAAATGGCAGTCTCCTTCCCTGGAGGTCTTCCTCTTGATCTCGCTCTAGCTCTTCCCGTCATCTTCTAAGACAGACCACCTACAGCATTAGCGTTCAACCTTCTCCTTCCCCCATCCTTTTTCCAATAAATATTATGAACAGCACTATCGTATTTGCCCTTAATAAACAAATAATAAAATATACCCCCCTCTGCAAAAATCCCTGCTACTGAATCTCCACACACAGCCACAACACGTAGCATGGGGAAATTACAGCTTCTTGTATTCAAGTCTGAACTGACTCCATAAGCTGTGAAGAAAGTTAACTATACTGGAGAGCATAGCAGATCTGCAGCCTCAGACAGGTGTAACTCAGGGTCTACTGATGTTACTTGCAAGTCACACCTGAGACTCAGCCCAATGTGTTCCACTACCGCACAACGCATGCAAGACACACCAGCCCTTGCTGCCAGAGCAGTGCCCCAGTGATGCAAACCAGCCTTAGAGACTTCTCTGTTCTCTTCCCCTTCCCAGCAACCCTTCTTTCCCGCTTGTGCTCAGCCTGAAGTCCTCCACCAGCCTCAAACAGCTTGCACGGCCCAAATCCCCATCCCGAGGCGTCCCCGCCCCTGCGGGCCTTCAGCGTCACCTCAGCCTGCCCTCAGGCCGCGAAGGAATTGCTTCCACCCCAGCCACACACAGCCGGCCGTCCTCCTCCCAGCGCTACAGAACTTCGTTCCCACTCAGACTAACAACCACTCCCACAGCCGGTATTGCCCGCAGGTCACTCCTCCGGGACACAAACCCCTCACAAAGCCCGCCGACTACCACCGTCCGACCCTCCCCACAGGCCGAGCGCTCCGTGCGCAGACGCGCGGCTTCTGGCCGGCACGCGCTAGTAGGGCAAGGCGGGAACGCACACTCTCCTCTGATTGGCTCCTGAGACCCGAGCGCTGCCGGAAAGTCCCGAAGAGTGGGGCTGGTCGTGGTGGACCGAGTTGAAGGTGGGGCTATGGCGGCCGTTAGGGCTGTGTACGTGGGGCCTTAGGCGCCGCACGGTGAGGTGCGGGTGTCCCCAGCACCCCTGTGCACCCTGGCAGGAGCGGCCCCCGGGCAGCGCTGGGCTGGAGGATGACGTTGTCAGCTGGGAGAGGGTGAGGTTCCCGCTGAAAATCTCTCATCCCCCGTAAATCTCAGTTAACCAGAAGGTGGAGCAGTAAAACAAGAAATAAAACTTGTTTTAGTGAAGGGCTGCGCTTGTCGGCTACATTTAACAACGGTGCCGCTTGCACTTCCTGTGTTTCTCCAGAGGTGTACAGAACACGAACAGGAGCGGCTGGAAACGAGCACAGTGTGCGTGGCATCTAAACTGCCAGCAGACAAATCAGATCAAACACGGACAGTTCAAAACACATGAGCATCTGTCCTCTCATTCAGATACATATAAAAGGGGGGGAAAAAGCACCTTTAAGTACTGAGACTGATTCAATCGCTATGATCGTTACAGAGAATCACAACTTGTATTTTAGGTCACAAACTAGCAAATCCTATGACTTAGAAGTGTCCTGAACTGGGAATGAAGCTCTGTGGGAAGCTTTTCCATGCTTCTGTGGAAAGACGGGATGTCTAGACAGCACCAGGGCTCAAGTGCACCTTTGCTTAAAGTTCGATGGCTCTGATGCGTCTGCAGACACTGACTTCAAGGGACAAGAGATAACACTGTCTAGTTAAAACCTTACCTTTATAAAAGACTAGTCTGATCTCATGAGGTCATTTACAGTTTTCCAGGTACCTGCAGTGAATAGAGGACAAGGTTCCATTTCCCTTGTTCTCTGTTATGTCAGGTAGAAACGGGTGACACTGTTAACATTAATTCTTAACATAATTAATACAAATATCTCTTCTTGTTTTATTTAGATTGTCCCTAAAGCTAGTTTTATTGTGTGTACTGACATCAGTGTAGTACCCACTTAAGCGCAATTTTCTTTTACAAGTTAAAAAGCAGAGCCTTCAAACTATGAAAGTGTAGGTATTGCTACTTAAAAATAGCTGGAGTACTGTTAGCATGTGGTTTTTATTATTCTCATCTAAATCTGGATAAATATTTAACAAACTCCATACATACACTTAGATTGGGCATTTTCAGTGCTTCTGAGAGTGCTGACTACTGCTTGCCGAGGGCTCTTCACCCACAGTGGCAGCTTTTATTGCTCTGTTGCCTGCAGAACTTTCCAGTGCGTCAGCGGGTTAGAGCTGCAGAAACACAAGATGCAAATTTTCTTGGCTGAGCAGTATATAAACATAAACAGAATATAAAGATGTTGTCAAAGTCATTTACCTGGCTTAAATCATGAGAAAGCAGCATGTGTGTGTAGGAAATAGTAATGTTTGTTTATTCATTAAAAATATCTGCTGTACTTAATGTTTATTTTTTTATGCCAGATTCCTTACATTTCACTGCAGAACTTAATTATCTTTAGACGGGAGTTGTTAAAAGTACTTAATCAGGCTTGCTACCTACAGCAGCTCCTCTAAAGTGAAAACAAGCACCAACAATAAGCACCCTCACTTTTATATGTGGGCTGTCAGACAGTTAATTAGTAGTTAATGAAAGATAGGTTCCAATTTGGTTTTCACAGTCTTTCAGACTTGCTTTTTTTATACATATTTATTTTTTTAGCAAGCCAAGCCCAGTAAGAACTGTGACTCTGCAGGTAAGCATAATGAATTTTCACAGGGGCAATGGCAATTCACCAATTGCAGCAGGTGCAGCATGTCCTTCATCCTGCCTGGTTTCTGAGAGGCACTGAGAAAAACAAGAGTTAGCCCATGGTAACTGTTTGGTAACCTTTTGCATCATATTTTTTGTGTGTTGCCAAAATCCTACCAATGCTAGACTTCAACACGTTGAAATACCACATATGAAATAACTTTTTCACAGCTACTTGGCTCACACTTCGCTTTGATGTTTGTTTTACCCATGATGCAATTGGTTTTGCCTTCTGTCTCCTGTTGCTACAATAAGCCATTTCCCATACATGTCACCTCCAAAAGGGAAAAGACCACATGGAAACAGAACAAAGAAAACAGAACAAAAGAAAACCAGGGATTTTTCCAAAGGCCCATTTGATGTACAAGTATAAACAGGAAAAAGATGCCTGAGGAGGTGGGAGCCAGGAACTGTGCTAGCAGACAGCTGTTAACTTACGTAGCAAGCAGCACTTTGGGGTTGTGAATGGTCAATAAATAAGTGATTCCAATGCACACAGTGAAGAAAACACTCACTGCAATACCTCTAGCGTAATGTTTAAGTGTATTGCAAACTCATAGCAATATAAGTTGAACTCTTACCTTCATGTCTGTCTTGTAACACTGAGTCCAGGTACCAGTAGCTCTTTTGGTTCTAGCCTCAGAAAAGGCAATACCTCGAGAAACCGGAATAAAAAGTATTGTCTGCTGTGATGAAGCAAGAAAAGTAAAGAACACAACAGAACAGAGCAAATAGACTTTTAAAAGCCCAACATCTTGCTCCTGAATTTTATTAAATATTTGTTCAAAAATATTCAAAGGGGAATTGCTCAAAACTAACCTTTAAAATAAGTTCCTGTGGTAGGTGATAAGTAGTCACAAATTTGGACCACAGTGTTTTTACATTCTTAATTAGTTTTCTTCTGAAGTGAGAGCGCAAGGTTTTAAAGACTGACCTACTATCCAAAATAGTATCTTGTGAGTTAATAGCCCTGCTTCTTCCCAATGCAAGTTTTTAATATCACATTTAATTTATTATAATTATGCTTGAATAGAGGACCTGATCTGAATACACAGTGAAGCCCAGTTTACTTACTGCTTTGGGTAGAGTATGTGGGGGCTAGTCTTTACATACCTAAACAGAAAGCAAAAGGCACGTTATGGAAAAAACCTGCTACTAAGGAGATAATACCCAATTCTCAGCATAACAAATCAAATGCATGTATTTTCCGTCAGGAAGAGAGAAAATGTGTTTTTCAGGGTTGTATTTCCTCTACTGTTTGAGGGCATATATTTTTCTATCCCTAATTTCTGTTTTTCACTTCAGATCCTTATTTTGGTCTGAGCCCTTCTTTCAAACTCATAAAACATCCCTCACTCTATTCGTGGAATCTGTGTAGGACTCTCTCCCGTTCCCCTTGACAACAATGTGTTTTGTTTCAACAGAAGCAAACTGTTTCTGTTTCATGTGTTCCCTGTTTACCAGGGTATCTAATCACAGCAGTTATCACTGCTCATTCCAAGCCCTGTTTTGTCAGACTGTGCCCTGAGCCCTCTTTTCCTGACAAGAAAATGGCCTCATTTAAAACCATCACATCCCTGCCAAAATTTCCTGCACTGTATCAACTTCACTCTATTTTCTGTTAATTTCTGCCCATTAGAAACTCACATCAGTCATAGCTGACATTTCATTTGTATCCAAATCCTGAGCGAAGTGAGCAAGCACTGATTTGATGTAAGTTCTCAGTAAACAGCCCATATTAAATGGAGAGGTCACATTAAACAGACAGGAACAAGGCCACCAGAACTTAAAACTATAATTAGATTTATAAAGTGTATTGTATATGTAAGTATGAAATTCTGTAAGATGTGGTCCAATCCTTTTTTATTTACATTTTTCAGCTAATAAGGGGAGATGGAGACTTAGTATATGGAGTATGTTAAAATACAATGGAAACAGTATTTTGATTCAGGTTTTACATAGTAAAATATTGTATTATTCCAAAAAGCAATGGGATATATTTCAGGAGAGAGACTAGCAAGAATTCTAAGTTTAGACAGATTGATTTCAGCTTATGTAGCAACCTGGTTTGATCTAATTGTCTTGTTATTGCTCTGAACTTTCATTCCTGAATTATGCAGAGAATTTGGGTTATGTGATTTAGTGTTGGATTAAAAAAATGTCACAGCTTAACTTTCTTTAAAATAGTAGAGAACTTTGTTCACAGTCAACGAAGTTCATTATTTTTTTGTTCAAAGCCCAGCTGCAGGCCTGGAGCATTTCTCATAAATATCAGGAAGTACCCGAAGCCACAGTCAGGATTAAAGAGTTGATCTGAACCTTAGATCTCAGCTTTAAAGCTGTAATGTACAGTGAATTTGGTTTCATGGTAAAGGAAATGGTAATTGCTGAAGTATGTTTTCTTAAGTTGCAAAATCATTTTTGAAATGTTTTCACTGAAACCTCTGTCAGCGCTGTGCATGAGAATGAGTGGCCTTGCAGCACAGCATTTACGTGCGACCACAGCACCGAGTTTGTGTGTTGGTGCCACTGATACAGGGACACCAGGGTGGCTGCTCCTTTGTGCACACACTGAGATCTACAGTCACAATATAGAGCACTATCCAAGCAAGTGAATTAACAACTTTAGTACACTATTTTAAGAATTACTTCTGAAAAATGGTCAAGATCTTAGTTATCTGGCAAATACACTGTCATGAGAAGCAATAACACAAATGCACAACTGATATCCTTAGTTACAGAAGTGCAGAGCAAATTCCTCAATATAGTATTAAAGTATTAGAAAAAGCACTTTGCTCCTGGCTCACTACAAATACTACGTCTGGTCTGCAGGGATGAAAGGAGTGGAAGAGCACAACTAAATTACAAACACGTTCCTACATGTCTCTTACACCTGGGTAGCTCCATCAACCAAACCACACGCCCTGTATTCTGTTTCCATAGCAGTTTATTTAATCAGAGTATTTCATTGCATGAAGGGAACTGTCTATTGAATTGACAAGAAAAATAAAATATGAGCATTTGGTGCTCCCTGACCTTTTTCAAAGGATGTTGCATTTAAACATGTACTTCTTTCCACAAGTGGCAGCATTTACTCATATTCTATGGCTTCATTCATAAGTGATGCAGATAAAATATAATTCTTAAGACTGCTGCACTCTTGAAAACTTGACTTTCTTGTGTACTTCATATAGCAGGCATAGAAGGTATGCTTCAGATAGCTCTTACAGAAATAGGAAGCATGGACAGAAGTATTATCTACAGTCTACATAAGCAAAGACACATGCCTGTTTTTGCATTTTCAGTGAATTTATCACAAGCTGCCTATAAAGGCAATAGGTTTTAGTTAGGTGGCTTGTGAATTCATTGCTGTGATACCAAAACCTAGCCCCAGTTCTGTGGGATTCCATATAGATGGATGCTTTAAGATCCTGACCAACAGTTGTAGACTTCCTTCAAAGGTTCATAGTTTTTAGAAACTTTGATAGCTCATGTCAAAGCCATTAGTAAGAGTTTCTTATCTTTTCCTCCTATGTCTGATTGTCAAGACCTAGAGTCACTTTTGTAGTCTCATATTGCACCCTCTCTACAACAACATGAATATTTCAGAGGTGTCTTAGCATTTAACTTCACTCCAGATGCAGTCTAGTAAGTACCTTGAAATTAAATGCATTGCTGCAGAGTTAAGGATGTCATTTTAAATTATTGAACAGCAAAATAATGAAGGCTTGATCCCAATTTTAAACCTTTTCCTTAAATCTTCTTCTAGCACCTCTCATTTAGAATTAATCAATCACAACGACTTGATATATAATACAGTAAGTTAAAATTAATAGGCCTCAGTCTCTACTGTTACATATTTAAAGGGAGCACATTTGTCACTACGGAAAGATATTCCTCCTACGTGTAAAATGAATTTAAAACAAGCAGCACAGAATAAAGTGATGCAAAGATTGCATGAGAAAGAAAAACAAGTGCATTGTTTCATTATGAAATGTTTCAGCCTAGACCTTCCTCTCAGGGCACAGGAGCGAGGCAATGTGCTAAACCAGAGCTATTGAGGAGCTGGGAGCACAAGGTATATAAACATGTTAACAGAGGCTGCTCCCTCTGCAGCAATGGCATCTGATTTCCATGATAGTGGTCATGTTGGGAAGGTGGTGGTGATTAGGAGAACGAGAAACAATTGGAATGGCTTTTTTTTCAGTACTTCCTAAGTATAGCTGTAACCTCAGATACCAAAGATGCATTTCAGTTCAGGGTCTGAATGTATTTCTTACTGCTTACTGTAACACTAGTTTGGTTTTCATATTAGCTCAGTCTTTCATTTGTGTGTTTGAATTACTGACACAGATGTCAATAACAGGGGAATTCACAGGAGCTATTATCTGGACTCTGATGGGAATCAGCTCTCACAAGTGAACTAATTTTGCTGTAGATAGTATGAGCAACTGTTTTTAAATAGCCCTACCTTAGCAGCTGGGTCATTCTGGTAACCAGTAGCAAGCAGGGCTTTGTCTACTGGGAAAGTGGCAGGTTTCTGCAGAGCTCCTAATTTATTCTAAGCACTCCAGAAATAAAGACATGGATTTTAATTACCTAAATCACTTACGTGACAAACTTTCCATTGAGGTAGATGGAGGAACTGTGTGCTTATGGTGTACAATACAGAACTTGAATCCCAAATGGATACTGGAATCTCCTGCTTAGGTGGTGCCTGTTCTTGAGAGTGCCTAATTTCATATGCACTTAACTTTTTGATTTTCAATTTCCTCAAGCACTCTTAGTTACTATTTTGTACTTTCCCAGCATAAAATTGCCTTGACAAAACTGATCCTGAACAGTGACTGATCCTCGAGGAGCAACTTAGGAGAAAGCAGGTCTCCACAAGCCAGGAGCATGCAGTCTGTGGATCACATGCATGACAGTACAGGCAAGATACTGAAAGGCCCATAAGAGAGAGAGTGACCAGGAACAAGCAGCAGTCACGGAATATTTTGCCTTCTGAAAAACTAGTTTCTGCGTGCTCTCAAATTCAGCCTAAGCAAAAGATACGCCAGCTACATGGGCTTACTCCCATAGGGGCAGCCCAACCTTAGCCATTCTTCATCTTGGACATCTTTCAAGCAAGTGCCTGATTGGCATGAATTACCTGTGAACTGACTGCACAGTGACATTTCAGCCAAGAAATGAGGAAACAAGAGAGAAAAGGGACCATAAGCATCAGCTCTGCCTTTGAAAAATCTACATGACTTGTATGATCAAAAAGGATGGACACCACTATTTGAAGACAAGAGCCAGAGGGCATTCACTTGAGAGGGGGGTCTAGTGGAATCTAAGTGGATGACAGTACACTCTTGAAGCCCTGAACAAGGCCAGGAAATAATTTTTGAGAGTGGTAGACAACAGGACTGTAGCCTCCTCCATGGCATGTGCTACTGCACGTGCTTCAGGTGATGTGATGCGGGAACTACTGTTCCTCTGCAGAGCTTTCCAAGCTTGCATTCATCTGTAAACGCAAAGAAGAGGACAGAGGGAGGCAGTTCAGCATGCAGATGTTAGGCTGGCTATTTGGGACTCCCCCTGTGCAGGAGAACTGTGGCCAAAAGCCAGGCATATTTATTACCTTGTGAACCCGGTTTTTAAACTCAGTGC